AGTTCATAAGTGCAGCGCTGCTTTGTTTACAGCGGAAACCAGGAAAGGGTTTAAGCGCCACCTGCTGGCAGAGAGTGAATCTGCGTCTTATTCAGCTCATCTGCGGTTTCATGCAGATATTTTTATTTATAGTTTCACAAAACTGAAGTCAAACCATTCTGCTTTTGCTTCAAATTTCGAAACTATACAATCTAATTTAGTTTAAAATCTGCTCATGTTGCATGTATGCAGCATCTTTGTCTGGATCATGATTACAATGCAGTGGTTGCCTCTAATTTTAAAAGGAAAGAGCACAGACAAAGCCTTATTTTGTTTATATGAAGATATTTATTTTATTTGTGTTACTTATTTATTTGTCAATTATTTATTTGTCATTTAGCAGACGCTTTTGTCCAAAGAGATTTACAAATGAGGACAATAGAAGCAATTAACCAACAAAAGAGCAGTAATATGCAAGTGCTATATTAGTACATTATACGAAGAGATGATGCCAACCCCTCAGAGGACCTCAGATGATGCCAACCCTGAAACAACATTACCTTACATACAGCACTACCACATTTTGCTATAAGTTTGATTGCATCATATAATAATTGCTGTTAATAGTGTTCATGGTCTGATTCATTAAGTCTTTAATTGATTTTTCCATACATGTCTGCCATATGTACATTAACTGACAGTTACCACTGATAAGCTACCACTAAATATTGTAGAAACTTCATTTGTTGTAAAGTAGCTTTGCAACGATTTGTATCGTGAAAAGCGCTATACAAATAAACTTGAATTGAATTGAATGTACATACATATCTATGGCTCATGTCCTACGAATTCAACACTCTGCTTCCATCTAACGGACGTCTTGTGTTATTACAGATTACATTTGCTGTCCAGAATTATATGAGTCATTCCTGTTATGCAAGAGTTTCATTACTTCAAGTGGATGATGTTATGTCCACAGAAGCGTCTAACATGAAATCTGACAGTTTTTGCAGATATATTCCAGGTGTTTCTTCATTGTCTAAATAAAATGATAGCTTTTTACATTCTTCCTTAAATTACAGCAGACGTATATTCCTTTTTAAAAGTTACTGCATAGCTGCATAAAAGTTACTCATATCAGTCCTGATATGTGCTGGTGAATATTTAGGACCATGTGATATTTCAGTTTTTCTTTTTTAATAAATCTGCAAAAATGTCAACAATTCTGTGTTTTTCTGTCAATATGGGGTGCTGTGTGTACATTAATGAGGAAAAAAAATTTACTTAAATGATTTTAGCAAATGGCTGCAATATAACAAAGAGTGAAAAATTTAAGGGGGTCTGAATACTTTCCGTACCCACTGTATATATTGTAATTGCAGGTAATACATTTCAATATCTACATACTGAGTGACCACCAAACTCCTTTCAAATCAAACTCTGACATTGAGGGAAAAATCCCATGTACTCTTTTATTAGTTTAAACCACAACACAAGAAGTAGTGCAGCCATGGCATCAGGGGCACAATACATGCTACATGTACGAAATAACCTTTGAATTGGAAAAGTTTGCCATTGCATGAATTTGGTGCGGTGCCTACGTAGGTAAACATTACAATGACCAAGGTTATGCTTGTATAAAGCTCTTGACACTGGCAGAATGTACTTTCAAATGGACCACAGAAATGTGTGTATTTAGAAATCGAGTTGGTGCTCAAAATGTGCAGTCGGTGCAAATGTCTGGATTTAAAAAGTACTAACCTTAGGGTTAACCTTTAAAAGCCTCAAGTGGAGTTCTCCTTTAAAACCAGCATGTAAAAAGTAGAAATAAATACAGTCTTGGACGTCTTAGCTGTCAAGGATTTTATATCACTTTAAACCTAAAAATGATTTTCATAAATTCATTCCATGCTCGGGCCCCACATAAATCTGCACACTGATATGCAATTTATTACATTTGATGACATTCTAAAACTGCACAGCTTGTAGGTTTTATATGGGAATATTTTTATGGCATAATATTTCCACCATGAGCATGAATGTATGCTCTCAGTTGCTGAATTATTCTCATGGATTACATTCAGCCACACTGAATCCCTCTCATGTGATGTACATAGAAGGTGTAGTAAACTAGCCTTTTCCCATCAATGCATCACAGATCTTTGCAAAACCAATGAATTATCCATCTAAATCTATTTCACATCTGTAATGCTTCTTTTAAATAAGGCTTGTTATCATTCTTTATGCAGGATGCAAATGAGGGAAGTACTCTTAAGGCAAACCTAATGGCATGCAAATAAACTACATTTATATTCACCAACAGTACAAGCACATTTGAAGGGAAAAGTTCAGTGGACATAAGCTTATTTTTTTGTCCATCCAGACGAGTGGGTAAATCCGGAACAGTTACGATTACCATAAGAATCGGTTCGGTTGACATTACGCAGTATATGGTACACATAGCTAGCATCAGTACAATAAATAGTAGCTTGATTTAATACAGCACATCAATGATGCACAAGCTCCAGTGGATTCAGAAGGTACTTTGCACACTCTTCACATTTTGGCAGTTAATTTTGACAACTCAATATATATATGTATATTAATATTCATATAATATATTCAAATATTCTATTTGTACATGGCATGGTCTGTATGTGTGTATGCATTTGCAATGTATGTGTGTGTGTGTGTGTGTGTGTGTGTGTGTGAGTGAGTGAGTGAGTGAGTGAGTGAGTGAGTGAGTGAGTGAGATTCATATAATATATTCAAATATTCTATTTGTACATGGCATGGTCTGTATGTGTGTATGCATTTGCAATGTATGTGTGTGTGTGTGTGTGTGTGTGTGTGTGTGAGTGAGTGAGTGAGTGAGTGAGTGAGTGAGTGAGTGAGTGAGTGAGTGAGTGAGTGAGTGAGTGAGTGAGTGAGTGAGTGAGTGAGTGAGTGAGTGAGTGAGTGAGTGAGTGAGTGAGTGAGTGAGTGAGTGAGTGTGTGTGTGTGTGTGTGTGTGTGTGTGTGTAGTGTGCGTAGTGTGCAAAGGTGTTCGTGTGGGTGCGTATGTGAAATTCATTAGCAAAGATTCTCATGCACACAAGTGTTTCAAACACAGGAAGCGGATTCATTGAAAGGTAGTCCAAGCAATTTTTTTATCAGTGGAAATAGCTGCAAACTGAATGGAACATTAATCATTTGTGCAGTCCCTGGCTCTTTTCCGAGACGCTCATTTTTGCAGGTCACACTGCAGCAGTAATACAATGGACGGGTCACTCTTTGCTGCTTCTTTGAACTCTTCCAATGTGATCTGGTCGTCGTTGTTCTTATCCATCTTACTGAAGATTTTGTCGACCCGCTGCTCAGGCGTCAGGCCGTCCTCATTCATCTTCATCATGATAACAGTCCCAACCATCTTGTAGATTGCCTTTAAATGAGGAAAACATTCAATTATTTTGGCGAGTCAGAGACACATTTGTGCTGTGGCACTAATAAAGGCAGCATAACTCTCTCTTTGACCATGAGGGGGCAAATCACTCCATATATAGAACCACAGGCTGCATCCGAAAACTTAGGCAGCTGACTTGATGCCTCGCTGCCGTATGAGGCAATGACTTTGCGTTTTTGCAAGAAGGCACCTCATGAAACTGATTTCGGACAGGCTTCTGAGGCAGCGTAACGGTTTAATGATCTACAACAAAATAGAACAAGTTTTTGTGATAACTAAACAAATATTTAATTACTATAATACTGATTTCTCGCTAGAAATAACATCAAAAGTGCAAAAAGTTAGTCAGAAATATACATTTACACACAAACTAGCCACAAAACGCAACTTTCAGATGCCATCTTTATTTTTTAGAAAAACCATCACTGAATGGAACGCATAGGATTGTGGGATATCAAAGGCAGCGAAGGACACAACTATGCTGCCTTCAAAATTCGATCAGAAGAAGGTACCTCCGGAGACAGGAAGTAAAGCAGAATTTGGATTCGGACGTGCCTTGATGCCTTTCTACCTTGGAATGAGGCAGCATTTTAGAGTTTTCGGATGCAGCCACAGTTTATCTTCTAGGGAGGCCTCAAGATGACTTAAAATAAGACATAACAAGCAATAAAATAATCCAAAACAACTAAAAATCAAGATATTTAATTTTTATTTGAATAACCAGGATTCTCATAGTCTTGAAAACCCTAGCACAATTTTAAAAGTGAGATTTATAGACATGGAAAAGTCAAGTAAATTAAAATCTCTCTATGGCATTCTCATAATGAATATTGACTTTTCTAGTTATGCCAACCTCTGAAATATTTAATTGGGTAGAAATTTTGAGTATGTAAATAAAATTACATAAAATAATATAGCTAGCTTATTCTAGAAGGCTGGTATGACTGGAGCTTTAATTAGTAAAAAAATTTGTAATAGCTAAGTTGAAATAATTCATTAAATAAGAAGTTTTTTTAGTTATTAATCAGTGCTTTATGCAAGTAAACAGGAGAACAGACTGAACGTCTCAGGTTACTTATGTAACCATGGTTCCCTGAGTAGGGAACGAGACATTGCGTCCTCTAGGGGTCCCTATGGGGAACGCCTCGTCGTGACCCGTGTCTGAAGCATACATTGAAAAAACACCAACAACACGTTGGCCGGCGACAGCCATGACGTCACTACCGGTGCGACTATAGTATAAATAGGCACCGGGAGAACACATCATCCACTTCTTCATCTGAAGCTTGCGTCCGAAGCATGGCAAGAAACCTAGAGGACGCAGTGTCTCGTTCCCTACTCAGGGAACCATGGTTACATAAGTAACCTGAGACGCTATGGGGAAGGGTATACCAACGCCACCATGCTGAGGGGAGTGCATGCCAGAAACCATGGCGAGCACTAAGTACCAACTCTACCATATTGCCATGGGAGTTGCCCCTGGAATGTTAGACGGCTGTCAGTGACATTGCTCACAGATACCCGGAAGTACTGAGCCAAACAGGAGAGGCAAGCTCAAATACAACCCTCTACGGTGAGAGGAGCACTGCCTGAGACAGCATTACACAAGGAGGTTCTCGCAAATGCCACCTATACTTCCCGCTCGATGCCTCAGCAGGAGGGGATATCCTGGTGATCGGGAGGCCCCTCAGGGTGACCTAGATACGGTAGACCAGACAGGGCAGCCTGAAAGCATAAGCCCAGCCCGGACGTCCAGGACATTTTTGCAGTGCCGTGCCGGGGGCCTAATGATCAAGAAGGCTCCCGCAAAAGCCTGTGACCTGGCCTCATAATCCAGGAAGTATGAAGCCGAAACCCGGCTTATCGTACCATCTGGACATATATATCGACGAGTGAAATAAACACTGCAAGTCGAGCACCCGGTTTCTGAACCCAGCAGAGGGGGTGCTCATCGAGGACCTACCCTAGAAAAAGGACAGAAACACAAAGGTCCCGGGAAACACTGCAAAGAAAGCTAGCAGAAGGATATACACACAACCACCAGCGCATTAAATACACACACACACATATATACATATATATATATATATATATATTTAGAAATGGATCGTACTCAAACACCATGGTTCCCGCGTCGGAGCCCCGTCCGAAGAAGCCTCTGGTCCGGACCATCAGTAAGGTGGTCACTATGAAGCCATAGAACCAACCAAACATCATAGGTCCAGCATAGGAGACTGTAATGCAGGAAATTCCCACCTAACCTTGGTCAGGTGGAGAGATGGTGATTACAGGGGAATTAGGAAGGGGAAGATAAGGGCAGCTGTAAGACCCCAGAAGGAAATGAGTAGATACTGAGGTATCACTCTGATCCGGACAAAAGCGCTGACGCCCTGTCTGGATCACATCCCTTAGGTCTTTTACCTACCTTCCTTTGACCCGCGATTCTTCCTACCCCTACCCGCGGGCGGGGGAGGAGCGCGAGCCGCGACACTAGCCTTCTGTGCCCGTCTCTGATCCTCAAACCGAGACGGGCCAGGACCCCTGGGTTGTTTGGGCTCAGACCTGAACCTTCGTAAAGGCCGCTGAGCGCACCTTTGCCTCCCTTAACTTCTCGACCACTGTCTCAACGGAGGTACCAAAAAATACGGAAGGTGAAACCGGCGCATCGAGAAGAAATCCCCTCTCTTTTTTCCCGATATCTGCTAGGTTCACCCACAGATGTCCCTCTGTCACTACCATAGCCACTGCTTAGTAGCACGGAGAGCAAGATCCGTAGGGCGGCGCACTCAGCTACCTCATCAGGAGAAAGGCCCTCACCTTTATCCAGGTCTTTCAGCAGGTCAGCCTGATATGCTTGGAACATCACCATCGTGTGCAATGAAGCGACAGCCCGACCTGCTGCTGCTACGTATGCCCTGGCATTAGAGCGAGATGTCAAGGAGGGAGTCTTAAAACAGGAGGGGATACCCATAGAGAGATAGCTGGCCAGCGTTTCTCTATAGGGGCATCTTCTCATAATCGCTTTCGCGCATCGCCTCAATGTTGGCATAACTCGTATGCTGGAATCGATGGATGTGTGAGGAAAAAACGGCCTCTTCCATTCCTTCTCAATCTCTGTATGGAAAACAGGAAGAAAGGAAGGCTCACCTGAGCTGGAGTGTTATGGCCAGAAAAATAAAGTTCATCGAGATGACCTCGCAACGTCACTTTCTTCACCTCGCCGTGGCGTGATCCATAACTTTCAAAAGCTCATCATACGCAGGGCAGGAGGATTGGGAAGGCTCAGCCTCAGCTTTTTTGCCCTCCTCAGACATTTCCTGCTTTTGCTGGGCCGAACCCAGCAGAGCACTGGCCCCTGGATCAGACAATGTTAATGAAATAACATCATCCTCCAGCGGCTCACTCTCGTCCACAGCCGATGATCGCGAGAGGGAAAACCCCTATTCAAACTCATCGGCCAGATCCACCGGCGATACCGACGAGCTCATTCTCCTCCGTGCCTCAGCAGCGGCAGGTCCTGAATCGCGGGAAGCAGATGGCTGCCCCTCTTTCCTCGAAAAGAGAGACAAACGAGAGCGGAGCTTTTTCATTGGAAAAACGCTCGCAGTGCACGCTAATTGCCCCAAACAAATAACGCATAGATTGTGTGTGTCATCAGATGTTAAACAACGACAACACAGATGCACACATCCTTTAAACGCTTTGCTAGTGCTCGCCATAATGATATGAATAGAGATCGCTCTTACCACAGAAATGCACGCTTCAAACAAAACAGTCAATGAAGACGAAGAAGAGGATGATGTGTTCTCCCGGTGCCTATTTATACTATAGTCGCACCGGTAGTGACGTCATGGCTGTCGCCAGCCAACGTGTTGTTGGTGTTTTTTCAATGTATGCTTCAAACACGGATCACGACGAGGCGTACCCATAGCGACCCCTAGAGGATGCAGTTCGAAGTTCCCATGAAAGGGAATCAAGTACCTCAATGATCTCAAGCATCTCAACTCGTGTGATTTTGCCATCTCCATCCAGGTCGTACATGTTAAAGGCCCAGTTGAGTTTCTGTTCGAAGCTGCCTCGTGATGTGATGGACAGGGCACAGATGAACTCTCTGAAGTCGATGGTGCCGTCTCCATTCTTGTCAAAGGTTCTGAAAGCGTGTTCAGCAAACTTTGAGGCATCACCATAAGGGAAAAACTGAAAAAATAGGAACAAAATACATTAATCAGTGTGTAATCCATATTGTTTTATTGGCAATACATATTTCTTGTTAGTCATGTTAGTAAAATGTCTTTAAAATAACAAAAGCCTGGATTTTATTAAAGGGGTCATATAATGCGATTTAAATTTTTCCTTTCTCTTTGGAGTGTTACAAGCTCTTGGTGCATAAAGAAGATCTGTAAAGTTGCAAAGACTAAAGTCTCAAATCCAAAGAGATATTCTTTATAAAAGTTAAGAGTCAACCACGCCTACCTAAAACAGCTCGTTCTAACACGCCCCCACATGTCTACGTCACGATGTGGGAAGATTTGCATAACGCTGCCCAAATGTCCACGCAAAGAAAGAAGGCGTAACTTTTATTTTCGTTATAGTATTGTTGTTGTCACTGCCGCCATGTCGTGAAGACGCTGTGTGTTTCGTTGTGAAAGCGAAACTACTTTGTTTGTCCTTCCAAAAGAGGACGATATCCCGAGTCCAGACCCGGGTCGTCACACGTGGTTGCCGCAAGCCCGCCGGACACTCCTTCGTCGAATCCGCCGGCCGTGCCACTCTCAAGCCCGCCAGCCGTTCCCCACTCAAGCTCGTCGCAATGCCTCGTTTATAATGGGTTTTAATGTTTTTGTCTCGTCGCTCTGGCCGGGAGACGGCATCACAGTATGGTAAGGTGCGTAACATTTCCGTCACACGCTTGAGGTATTCAGCCAATCACAACACACTGGATAGCTGGCCAATCAGAGCACACCTCGATTTTCAGAAAGGCGGGGCATAGTGAAACAATAATGTACAGTATGTGGAAAAGAATGTGTTTTTTTAACCTTAAACCTCATAAACACATTTCATTACACCAAACACACAAAATAATGTTCTTTTTAGCAACATCATATGACCCCTTTAACAAAAGAATAAAAAAATCTAAATGAATTTCAAGCTACCCCTCATATAAGCAAACTCTGAGCTTGGCCAAATTGTACTAAATTGATCAAAATTGACATTTAAAATAAAAATATTTGAAAATAAATGCAGTTATTTTAATTAATTAAAGAATCTTGAGGGGGGAAAAAAGTTACGGTTTCCACAAAAAACAGCACAACTGTTTTCAAAATTGATGCTTTCAACAGTAATAGCTATTGAAAATTCAGTTTTGCCATCACAGGAATAAAGTGCATGTTAAAATATAAAATAAATTAAATTAAAACTTTAATAACAAATAAATGCAGCCTTGATGAGCATAAGAGACATATTTCAAAAATCTTACCAACTCCAAACTTTTGAATTGTACTGTACATTAAAAAGGCACTGCATAATAGGAATGACTGTTATTTCTGTTTGTCAGAAATACTGAGCTTTACATTTTCTCACATTAAAAACCTGCTTCATTTTAGTGCTGCAGGGCTTTTCAACTTTTATTTTTATTTTTTTGCATCAACCTAAAAACAGGAACTTAACAGACAGCACTATGAATGCAGGAGATTTTAGTGGTGGGTGGGTGAGCATATGTATGCGTGTGATAACTAAGGCCATCAATGCCCAGCACAGTGCCTGCCTCTTTGCAGAAGAGGGCTGCAATGCGGACATGAACTATGTAATCGGTCTGTACCACTACAAGAGCAGCACACAGCTCCTCTTTGAAGGGGGGCATCATTCCCCTTCTAATACTGTTACCCTCTCAGTGAATGAGGGCAAAAATTACATTCACCCGTTCCCAACGCAGTCCTAGCCAATGCACTATTTGTCACTTATTGTGTCTAAAACACTACTGATTTTCAATCTAATGAGCAAAAGGGGGAGGGGGAATAATTTATAATTTATAATAATTAATATACCTGATTTATAGGCACCACTGACAACATATAATATGTTGATATAATAAAGTATGTTTTATAAGCCAAAAAGCTATTGTAAATATATAAATGAAGGCTTTTTTTAGCAAAATCAATAGGCTACTTTGTTTGGACTTCCAAAAGAGGACGATATCCGCTTCCTCATGCCTAGAGCTGATCCGTGCTGGTCGCTGAGGAAATACATCAACTTCGCGCTGTGGATCGCCGGATCGGCTTTCACCGTGGACGAAGCGGAGTCCAGCCCAGGGTCGTCACATGTGGTTGCCGCAAGCCCGCCGGCCGTTCCTCACTCTAGCCGCCCGGCAGCTGCTCACTCTAGCCCGCAGTGTGTGACGCTGTGTGACACATTTTATGGAGGACTGTTTCCTGAACCTGCAGTTCTGCATAGCCTACAATGGGTCTGTGCTCAAAGGCTGTTCTATAAAGTGGGGCAGTTCCAACTTTGCAAGGACAGTCTGGCGCTTCTGACTCACAGCCTGTAAGTAAATCTTTTTATATTTAAAGAATTTGCCACTGATGATTCAAACGCGAGTTTTAAACAGTGTAGAGTAGCGCTTGTTTGTTTGTCGTTTCTCCGATCACAAATGCAGACATGGTTTTATGTTTACGCGGCGCGATACGCAAAGCAACGCATAAAAACACAGTATAAGTCATTATAATCAGTAATTATGTCCCCACTGGATGCAACAAATGCCTCGTTTGTAATGGGTTTTATTGGTTATGTTTCGTCATGCTGGGAGATGGCATCACAGTATGTTAAAGGGGCGTAACATTTCCGTCACACGCTTGAGGTATTCAGCCAATCACAACGTACTGGATAGCTGGCCAAAAAGAGCACACCTCGCTTTTCAGAACGATGAGCTTTGTAAAAATTGACGCGTTTCAGAAAGACGGGGCATAGAGGAGCAACAATAATGAACATTATGTGGAAAATAATGTGTTTTTTTTTACTTTAAACCACATAAACATTGCATTACACCAAATACACAACAATGTTCTTTTTAGCAACGTCATATGACCCCTTTAAACATTATCTAACCTCACATTTGAGTGTAGAGTTATTTGACTGCTAAATATTAAACGATGGAATCACTGGAGTGTGATGGCAGAGCTGAACTAAGCTAATAATAAATTCTGAGCACTTAGGAACAGATGCCATGCTCAAAGACAGGGAAATAAGATTCTCATAGTTTCACCAAATGAGAGAAAAGAGTGTGTGAGTGTGTACCAAATGTGCCACAAGGACAGCAAAAGCTGAAATCACTTACATAGTGTGGAGCAGACAAATACAAAAATTATTTAGTTTGAACCGGTCCAATCCATGTAAATAATAAACATACTAAATAATGTATTTTTTAAAATATAAACATGCAGAAATGTTTGTGTGTTTAGGGATTGGGATGGATGATAGAAAATGTCATTAGCTCAGCATAAAAGCAAAATAAGTAAATGGAAAGTCCCCACTAAGACATTATGTGTGTTTCAGGGGGTTCAAGAATGTTAATGATGGAGTTGAATATCTCATAGTACTCTATAGAGACAGATGAGGTGTTTTCCCAGAATTTCCCAGAATCTGCTATTGAGAAAAGATGTTTTTCGTCTTCTTGCTTTACACTCTTCTTCATCTTTTACAGGACAAGAGGGTCCAAATGTCATCACATAACATCATGTTTATGCTAAACACGATCCTGTAAGATCCAATTAACTTTATTTGGTTATGAACAAAAGATACATTAAATATAAAAATGCTAAAAGATTTTAAACAATGCAAGTCAAATATTAAATGAATTAATGAATTAATGAATGGATGAATGATTTGCTTAATCATTTTTTTGTCTTGCTTTGCCATAATAATATTGCCATTGACTTCCATAGTATGTTTTTCCATACTCTGGATGGCAATGGCTACCGTCAACTGTTTAGTTACTAACATTCTTCAAAATATCTTCTTCTGTATTGAACAGAAGAAAGAAACTCATACAGTTGAACAAGTGAAGGGTGAGTAAATGATGACAGAATTTTCATTTTTGGGTGAACTATCCCTTTAATACCTCATGCTTCTCAAGTAAATTTATCTGGTTTAAAGGATTTTAAATACTGCAATGTTTTAAATTTACTGAAAAACCAGACAAAATACTCACAATATAAATAAATATAAATATACATATTTATTTTTTCCAGTGTAACCCCAACTAATATTGTAGAAAGAAATAGATATATCCTATGCACTCTGCATAGATATATCCTATGCACATATACTTGAACACAAGACACCAACTCACAAACCCACTAGCTGAGGCTGATGGGACGGCAGCGGTCTTTGATCTCATCAGAACCCAGCCAGCACAAAATCAAATGATCGAACACAGCACCACCCTGTGAAGATGCAGTGTGCTCTCATATATCAAAGAGTTCACACATTGTCAAACTCCTTCAGAAAGCAGAAACCCTCTGGGTTAGCATAGGTCCGGTCATAAGGCCCTGCCAGACTGGCACTGGGTTTAGAAGAGAGAGAGGAGACAGGAAGTAATGCACACTGTGATGTACCCTGCACACATGCAAAATGATTCTCTCATGGGGCTGGTCCTTCTGCTCCAAATGGCCTTGCCCTTCGCCAAAGTAGAGGAGAGCAGAAGAAAACAAACAAAGTGCAAGTCATGAAGAACTGGAGAGCTGGGCGGCTCCCTAAGTTCTTCCGTGCAAATCTGGCAGGTTATGAAATGTTTTGTTATGTAAAAGAGAGGTTTTTTTTAGTAACTATCTAGGGCATGACTGTATTCTCAACTTTCACATTACAATAATATTCTTCTTTTTACTTTCTTTTGGATCCAAGCACATCCGAATGTAGAAATAGATCTTCACATGTGTACTTTGTCAGGAGACATGCTATCACATGGGAATGCCACCTGGTCAAGATCCAAGTATCTGTTATTCTATGAATACATAAAGGAGATGAACAGTAATTTGCCATATTCAAGACAATGTAGAATATTATATCAGCTTAAATGTGTTTTTTATAACTTAGTTTTACAGTAAATTAGTTGTGTTAAAGGAAACAAAAAATTACAAATCTGCCATAATTTACTCTCTCCAAATAATTGTGTTCTTTCTTCTGTGAAACACAAAAGGAGATGT